CAAGCAAGGCCGCTTGCGCCTCACATTACTTTCATGAGACTAGCGATTACCTTGCCCTTGACGAAGACCGTATCAGCCAGGAAATACACACGAAATGCGTATTTTTAGCGAATGCGCGCTGCGCTGCTTGCACTTTGCGTACCCATTGAGACCAGGCACTAGTCCAAAGTTTGAGTAGCGTTGCGTCACTTTCAGGTCACTCCATTCAAAAGCAACATGTGACGCTTCATTTAGAAGCCCATTTGTTTCGATTTTTGGGCAAAGATTCACTTTTTCTTTCGGGTGCGTTCATACTTTGCGGCAGCTTTGACCGTCATCAGGGCCTTGAGCGTTTTGATCGATCCAGCCTTCCACGCGTTTGCCAGCGTTTTGAGCGTCCGTCTGCATTTTTAGCGTAATCGATATTTATACATTATTAGTCGCTCAAAATGCTGGTGGATGCTCAAAGTATGAACCACTTAACTATTCGTAGTGAAACTTTTCCTGGAATGATCGCTGAGGCCGCGATCGTACTTTGCGACTCGGGAGAATTGTCTTTTTGAGCGAAAACACCTACCCAAATCGTAAAGTGCTGAAGCAGTCTAAAGTAGTGGGTTTGTGCAATTTTTTCGCTAAACTACTTTCGTGATACTCCTTTCTGATTTTTTGCTAAAATTTCTTTCGTATTTTTAGGACTCACACCCTTCAGGCAAATATGGTAATCAGATCTCAAAGTGCATATAAAAGCACGTTTGCATTGCGCCAGTTATAAGTGTGGGATGTAGGAGATCAGGGGCCTCCTGCTGTCGCCATAGGTAGGGGCGACGTCAGGAGGGCTGAACAAGCCCGTCCCAATAGCGTTAGAACCAACAGTTATCATTAGTGATAGATCTAGAAAGAAAATAACAGGCGGTGGAAACGCTGCGGTTGGGCCCTTTCCATGTCTCATGATACTGTCCCGATTGATTCCAACAATATAAAGTGTACATATACCTTCTTCAAAGGGAAGATCTGCTTCAGCACGTGGCAGAGGACGAGAAATATATCTAAAAGAGCCTAACTGGATAATTTATTTCTTTTCTTCTCGATGACTACATATTGGTGTTTAAGGCCAATTTCTCAAAAATTGAAGAAATGAGCACGGGTGCTGCGTACTGTCAACTCACACATATGCTATTCCGTGATTCTATCAATCTTCGTAAGGTTAGCTCACTGACATTTCTCGACTGTTTCAACTATGAATAAAACATTGTTTTCTTCGAAGGTCAAATGGAATAGTCGCAATGAAATGGACCATATCAGCAACTGGAAAACACTGACTACCGCTTGGAAAGCGCTAGGCGTTGACAAGGTAGGGATTTGTTTCTATTTTTTTGCTTCTGAGAAGGATTCTTTAAAAAGTTCTTGGTTTTCTCGGTCAAGAACCATCTTTCCTTCGCTTGTTTACCTACTTAACTAATCTGCAAATATCAAAAGACAGAATCTCGTTGAATGGTTTCTTTTCGAATCAGAAACTATTCCACCACTAATCTTCCGAACTTTGGCAGAAAGTCGATACTTGCCTGCCAGCGGCGAGCGATAAATTCCAAGTAACAACGATTTTTATGAAAATTGCTTTACTGTAGCTGTAAACTGAAGTGTAAAAACATTCAATTCTCATTTCGGAACTGTTGTCATCGAAACCCATCTGATCGTTATTTGTCGGTTCTTCCAACGAATCGCAGATGTTTTGAGGAGCGCGCTAAGCACCACACACTGGCATTTGATCCTTAGCAAAAATAAAGGTCAAGTGCTGGGTACTGGTGTAAAAGTCGGTGCATTTGTCCCTTCATTGTTCAGTCCAGAACTCACACCAACTTATAATTCAGCAAAAACGGTCAACAACGCTGAGTGTTATCACAAGAATGCTGAGTTATGGGCAAAAGTCGTGCCCCAGGCGGGAGTCGAACCCGCACCTCACGCTTTCCGGGCGAGTGCGCTATCCGTTACGCCACCAGGGCCTATTTCACCCTCTCAGCTTAACGGCTTATGCCGTAGCCTTACAGCACTCACACGTTTAACTTGGTGAGCCGGTCAGCCGTAATCGTTAGATATCGGCATGGAAACGCGGAGGCCGAAGGGAAATTTTTACAACTTTGAGGCTGACGGCATAAGCCTTAAGCCTGAGAGGGTGAATAAGGCCCTGGTGCGGACGGATAGCGTACCGCCCGAGAAGCGTGAGGTCGGTTCGACTCCCGCCTGGGGCACGACTTTTGCCCATAACTCAGCATTCTTGTGATAACTTTCGTAACGCGTACTGCGGCGTAAAACAGCAGTTATCTAACAAAACGACTTCAAAAACTTGTAAAGCCTTCGGCCTCGCGGTTCCATGCCGATATCTAACGATTACGGCTGACCGGCTCACCAAGTTAAACGTGTGAGTGCTGTAAGGTTACGGCATAAGCCGTTAAGCTGAGAGGGTAAAAGCGGCCCTGGTGGCGTAACGGATAGCGCACTCGCCCGGAAAGCGTGAGGTGCGGGTTCGACTCCCGCCTGGGGCACGACTTTTGCCCATAACTCAGCATTCTTGTGATAACTTTCGGAACGCGTACTGCGGCGTTAAACAGCAGTTATCATAACAAAACAGCTGAGTGTTTAACAATTTCTGTAGATTAGGGTGCGATGCTGTAGAAGTGACGAAAAAAATTAGAGAACAATTTCGCTTCTCATGTTACGATAAGGAGGATCCATTGAGAGAAAGGAATGGAGCACAGGGTTCGCTGCAAACTCTATGCTATGGCTTGCGTGCGCGTTGTGCTCTTTCACACACCATTTGCTGTGGCCATGTCTTTACCGAGACTTTCGCTCTTCTACTACTTTTTCTGCTTTCAGCCAGTCCTCGTGGAACGGTTGACGAAGGCGAAATTCCAAGACAATTTCGAATTTCTACAGTGGTTTTTCAAATTTTTCAACGCCAACTATGTAGATGACGGCGAAGAATATGATGCATTAGCAGCCCGAGGAGGCGAGGTATGTTTCAATCTTCCGTATATGCTTGCTTGTTTTCTCTTTTTCTCGTCCTACAAAAAGAAGAACATTTTCCTTGTACTAGATCGTAAAGAAAATTGTCAGGGTTTGGTGCACAATTTCGAATGCGGTTTTCCATATTACTTTTTGCGAGGGTGCTTTCTCATCCCATCATTTGGAGCGCATTTTCACTCTTTCCAGTTGATAGATCGATTTTGTATTGAAATAGTTTTTTTTAATTTTTCAAGTGGTAGATACTGGCATGTACAAACGATAGATTCGCTTAGTTTTCAAATCCATTTCAAATTGGATAGGTTAGCTGAAAGAGCTCGGGACACCAACGAATCGTTTTGCTTTGCAACCACGAATGAACGTGCTGCGGAGTGGATGGTTTAAGAAATTTCGTGCCGGCGATGATAGCCTTGAAGATGATAAGCATGAAGGGCTGCTATCGGATGATGACAACGAACAATTGAGTTCAGTAGTTGGGTTAGTAGAAGAGAATAAGCTAACTGCGTTGGAGGACAATGTCTCGGGATTGTGTTAAGCAAGACGGTTTGTGACCACATGGAGGAAAATGGAAACTCCCCAGTAAAGAAAGAGACGAAAAAAAATTGAAATCACCCCAGCCGGCACCTTGAACGAGTTTGTCGGACGTCAGACAAGCCCAATCAGCAGGATTCGTAGTGCAGCCGGTTGCCGGCAAGAGCATAGGAAATCGCCCTACGACGCTCCAGGCAACGCTATGTACACACGCAATTCCGCTTGTAAGCCGTTGTCTTGCAGAGTTACAGTACGCGGTTGCACCGGTTGCAAAACTCACGCGTCTCTAGCTTCGTTATCTCGCCATTTCAAGTGACGAAAGTGGTATATTCTCTGCGAGTGCGGACAACGATGCCAAATGCATAGAAGCATTTCGCTGATCACTTGATCGCGGGAAGTGCTTTAACAAGTGCGTAGCGGTCAAATCAGTCAGGACTATATGGATAGCCGTTTCGAATCTCATACGGCCTGCTTTCACGCAACAGGAACGACAAGCAGTGTGAGAAATGAATGATGCAGAAAAACCGGTGGCGTTCTGGTTGGGGCTGGACAAAAATCAAGGTCCTCAACCTTTTCTCTTGTTGAAGCAGCACGCAAAGGAGGTCATGTGTTGGTTTCTGCAGATGCCTGAATCATTATAGCTTGATGGATCCGGGCGAGGCCATGACAACTGGAAAGTATTGTTAAGAAATTGGTGAACCGTAAACGTCTTCCTATGAGCCCGTCCTGCTCAGCAGATAGGGACACTTCATGGCAACACTTGCACGTTGCACAGCTCATCCTGAAGAGCTTGAACGGGCTGCGGAACACTCACTGATCCCCACTTTACTAGGTCTAGCCTCCAGCGATTACGACTTCAGCACCTCGGTAGCTTCTTGAATGAGAAATGCCCTAGAAGCAATTATGATGCTCATTTCCAGTTCTCTGGATTTCTATTTGTGCAGTCTAAACTAAGCTTGTTTCTCGTTGGCAGGGTGCGCTGGTAGATATCGGTATTCCCATTTATAATGTTTCATTAATCTAAGAGAACTATGTGCACTTCAAAATTTGAAGTCTAAATACGCAAAAGCTTCTTTTGGATGTAACGTTTTAATGCCGAACTTGTATTCAACGTCGTGACTACAACAGCGTCTTCAAAACAGTGCTGTTGCAGTTGTGAAATAAGCTGTTGATTGCAAAAAGCTGCGCCATATATAATAACACTATCTGCGACGCGGACGAAAGATGAGAAACGAAACATCTTCACGTACCTTCTTTTTTCCTGAAAATCGCCGTAGCAGAGTAGCTTCGTTCCATGCTGATGTCTCCTTGAACATGTGGTATGAAGGTCAAGGATAAATGAGGCAATGGATAAAACTGATTGGTGTGTTGGATGTCCTTCGATTTTATTCGGAGCGTATAAAAACTTCTGGTGAAAGGACACGGCGAAAGGAAATCTCAAAGTTTCATTGATGTTGTAATCCTCTGGATATCGCTCTACTTCTGAATTTCTTCGCCGCCACTAATGCATGTAAGCAGGGTATTGTTGTGTATTATATTCTCTATAAAGTTCAAGAACTTCTCACAGTCCGCGACAGCTGGGACAAGCTCTCATAGACATAAACGCGTGAATGGTTCCACTGAAAAGGCTCATCCACCTAATATTTTTTAAACGTTGCGTGCTTCATTATCACATGATTTTCCTTCATTGTTTTCTTTGGAACTAACGGTAATAACCTTCACTTAAAAGATAGAACCTTCTGTATATGCTGACTGACCCGCGCATGCGAAATGTATACCTCTTTCATAACTCAAAACCGGTGTATGTTGAACGCGGCTGCCATTCTGCTACTGGGCTCTGTGATCCCTAATGTCCCCGTCGGAAATCTCGTCCATATCGCTTAGTATTGGTAGACGTGCTTGAACCACCTCGATGAACAACAATTTATTAAAAATTCATAAACTCCTGCCAAATAACGTTTCCAATAATAGTAAGATCATCGTTACCAATCCGGCGTCTGTGATGGCGTCCTGCCAGTGTAGGCCATATCAGATTGAAGGGGTAGCAGCTTAAATCTGATGGTGCAGCGGGTATGATGGTGTGCAACCAGGAAATTTACATCTCTTTATTGATTACATAATAAGTAGGGAAATCGCTCAAGCACGTCGGTCAAGATGATGAGACTTGGACGAGTGTGCGGTGCAAGTGAGGAGCTGCAGAGGCGGGAGGTGCAAATTGGTAGAGTAGTGAGTAGCGCCTCAGTAGTGGTTTGACCGTCGATAGCTTCGCCATTCGACCGTCTCCCCCTAAAACTGAATAGCGAAGTGTCACGATCTCATAACTCGCCTCGTACCACACTCGATGAACCTCTGCATTCCAACATGGTAAATCTATCGATCACCACACGAGATTGCTAGTAAAGTCGAACGGCTAACGTTGCGCAGAGGACGCTAGCCGTGTTTAGAGTCCCGTTTGGAACGCTAACGTTATAAAGGGTTTTAGCTCTCATGTGACTGATAGGCATTCTTCCCTTCTGTTTTTTTTTGGTTCCTGACCCACCCTCGAACTGCCTCCAGGGTTTTGCCCGCGGATGTTTGAACGGCGCACTCTTGGACCTTGACCCTCGAAAAAAAACTTCTGCATTGTGAATGTCGATCTCTGGTGACTTGCACCATGCCACACGTGGCCATTTCGTCTCATTGCTCATTGAACGCACATGAAGAGGTCTTCGTCTCTTACCTATGCATTTGTTTTCCTATATCTGTCGGAAGTTCTGTGGAAGAACACCGGCGATCGCAAAATTTTCGTGCCTGTCAGACAGACCATACAGTGTGATGTTTCGCATGCGCGATCCTAGAGGCGACTTCGGATGAGACCGCACTCGCGAAGGAGCTCCATTTCGTCAAGTGTTCCAAGGGATGGTCTATATCATGTTTACACATTCGCGGCGACTCTATCCCGCAAAAACTCCCTTTTTCGGCGGCGAATGAAAACCTCTCTTTTGTTGTTTTCGCTAAACCACCCGAATTTCCTATTTTTTTTGACATTTTTGTTTTGCATTCTTCTTTCTGGACAGGTCTCCATTTTCGTTCAAGTTTTGTTTTCAAAGTAGCTTTTTTATACTTCCTGACGTTAATTGGAATCGCACGGAAGAGAGCGGATTCTGTTGAGAAAGCTGATTAGTATGACCACGTGATCCTATTCAACTTCACAATCACAATCAATTATTCACAAAAAACGTTTAGTATTATTTTTGTGTTATCTGCGCTATTATTTGTATACCGTTTCAGTGAAAAGGGAGGTGAAATAACAAGAAAACAAGCGAAAAGGAGCGGCGTGTACTCCCGTGAGTACACGAGTTGAAAAGAGGAGTTTTTGCGTGTACTCTCGGCAGTACAGCCGCCTCGAATGCGTTAAATATTAGGTTGTCCGGAAAGTTCTCAGCGTTTTGTGCACCTATTTTTTGTACATTCACTGCTGATTAAAAACTCATTCTGCCTTGCTTCTCAGTAGCACATCCTGTAGAGAATTTCTTGCGCTATCTGATGGTATAATTGCCGTTTCACCATTGCTTGAAACCCCCTTTTTTCAAGATTTTTTCAAGCATGTGAAAAGAGCACTTCGGACGATTTTTTCTTCGACTATAAATTGGGGCAATCCGCAATCGAAACAGCTCAACAAATTAACCAGGTGTGGGGGCCCAATAGTGCTAGAGAAAGCACTGTGCGGCAATGGCTCAACAAATTTCGTTCTGGAGATTTCAGCCTTGAAGATGAACCTCATAGCGGTCGACCTAAAGCAATATCTGACGAGGATTTTGAGGGGATTTTGGAGGCTGACCCATCCCAAACAGTTCGAGAGATTGCAGAAAAGCTAGGCGTTGGCAAATCCACTGTTGCAGATGGTCTGGAACGCATTGGGAAGGTGAAAAAACTCGACAATTGGGTGCCCCACAATCGGAGTGACCGGCAGGAATCGGCACGTCTCGAGGTTCCTTCTTCACTGCTTTTGCGCAAAAG